ACAGCAAGATCGATAAGTGCGTTGCAAAGAAAAAGTAATGAAAAAAAACCACAAAACCACTCCACTTCTTTTCTTTACAAAGAAAATCGTTCAAGTTTAGACAAAACCGCTGTCGCGAAAGACGTCCAGTATGTCTCAACATAGTGTATCGCCAGTACTTGAGCAACTGCAACAACTGATTGTTTCGGATGAATGGGTTGGCAAAGAGACTTCACCGCAGTTCCATCCACAACTCGCAAAAACTCGGTATGTACAGATATTTGCTTCTGACATAAAATACTTGACACATGCATAATTCAAAAAGAAATGAATAATATTTTCACATTATTAAGCAATGCTACATAGTAGTAGTAATAGTATCACAAACTTTGTTAAAGCATTGGGTTCTGATGTTGAAAATATCATTTAAATGTGCACACATTGATTCTAAATTGGAATTTTGGCATAGACACATATTTTTAGGTGGAGATTTTGTTTCTGAATAAGTTTATAACAAAATGTCAGTTTTCAGGTCTCGAGAAAGTCAGCGCCTTTCTGACCTTGGAAGGACACTTGTTACATCGTCATCGCTCAAAGCTTATATAGACCTTCTTAGTAGCCATCATCGACAGAGCATTGCCTCATGGTTGTATGGAAACACTAGCCAAGCGCTGAGTCAACAGTTTAGGTAAATACTTTTTTGTGTATGCACGAATGCGCGGGAAAACTTATGATGTACACTCAAAAGGGATTGTTAGGGAATTTGAAGTCAAACCTTCTTCGCCCTCATCGAATTGGTAAAAAATTTTTAAGTGTAGTAATAATCCCTTGTCATGCTTGTTATGCTCAAATGGAGGATAACATTATCTGAATATCTATTCTATTGTATGAATCACTTCGAAGACTTAAATTGAGTTTTAAGATCTCGTATCGCAAAGATTGCTTGAAACAATAGAATGGAATCAGATGGTAGGGGTAGCTAGGACCGAATGCGCTGAAAAGCTCAATCCGCAATGGCATTACCAACTTTTAACTTTATTTGATTCTCTTTGTGATACAGTAATTCTAATGAATAATCCGGTGAAAAACAATCTATGTATGTAGAGGATAAATTGATTTGGTTGTTTTGAGTGTACTCTAATTGTGTAGGTGGTATATTTTATTAATTTTTACTGTCTACGCAGCGGTTGGCAAATCGAAACGTGCAGAAATATCCTTATGGGGCTGATAGGTACTACTTCGTGAACTATTCAAATAAATACTTTTCGGAAGAAGACGATTCTGCACGAGTTGTTGCAGTATGAGGGGATTATTATTTCATTCTCGATTTCTTGTTAAAAGTATAAAAAATACAAATAACATAACATTTTTGATTAGAAGTGCCAAAAATCTATATAAGCAGAACTTTAAGCCCAAAATCAGCACTCATCAATTGTATTATCTGCTGTAGTATGGTCAAATTAGAGTTCTTTTTCATCTCTCTTTGTATGTCATTCTGACGCTATAAGAAATGCGCCATTTGGCTTTTTGCCCACTGTGTTTGTAGGTCAAGCATGTGTTCGAAAATCGCTTTTAACAACCATTCAAAACCGAAAGATTGGATCCTCAAGAAGCACATTGCTTTCCACCGTACTCCTCTGACTAAAATATTTTGCAGGTTTCCTGACGCAAATGTGCATTGCTCGGAATCTGAGGCGACTTTGGCACTCTCTGTGAGGAATGGAATTGGTTGGTGCTCTGGAATAATTCTAGAATAGCAGCTAGAGTAAGAAAAAACTTGTTAAACGTTTCCATTCATCAGGGCATGCTATCCGTTTGGCTTTGAAGGATGCTTACGGTAGCGACTATATTAACAGTGGGTGGAAGGCGTTCTTGGAGAAGGTGCGCATATAAATTTTGTTTAACAATGATTACCATATTAGTTACCTACTGATTGAAGAGAGAGCTGTGGTGGTAATAGCTTATCGTATAAAGGAAGCCACACTCAGGATAAAAACTAAGCCGTATTTCCAACATTCTAAATCGACTTAATGAATTTATTAGTTAATTTTCGTCCCTGCCCAATACCTTTCATTTTATAAGATAAATGATTGACTTGTACAACTAATAATTTACAGCATTCAGGGAGCTCCAGTAGTGTACATCACCCCTGCACTTCACATGGATTTGGCCCCTTATATCGCATCAGAATTTGGAATAGCTGACGTCGTATTGTTGCCAAAACTTGACGGCGATATGAGCGAAATTGAAGGGAGAATTGTGAGTTTTCTGATATTTGCCTATAGCTCTTCAGCTACAAGGGGCTTTGGATGAGAAATGTTTTCTCTTTTGGAAAAAAAATCGCTCCTATTTTGAGCTTCCCGCAATAAATGCAATTTCATCAAAAGCAGCCAACTTTGTGAATATAAATGCCAGTTACCAAGAAAACAGTTTTAATATGCTATTTAAGTCTAATTTCCTATATGGGATTTGGGATAACTTCGTTCGTTTTAGTGTCGAAGTAGATTCATATTTGCCAATCCATCATATAGTATTTGTAAGAAAGGTCTCTTTGTTCTTCAGAAAATTAACTGGCTCAGCCACCAAATTCAGATTTGTTAGATTAGAGATGATTGAAACCGAAAAGGTTGGATAGTTTAGGCTAAAAAACGCCCACCGACACCACAATTGTGTCGAAAATCTGTCTTCCCCTTGCCACATACATTGTCTCATTGAAAAAGTTAGGCCTTCCTCTTCAGGACCACCACGCCTTTGAACGAATACTAGATGAAGATGTTGCCGCAGGCAAAAAACCTTTATTGGTTATAGCTGTTGTTGGATCGACCATTCTCGGTCAGAATGATATGGTCTCAAAAATCCTCGAAATTAGAAAGAGGCATCGTTTTTGGCTTCATGCCGTTGGTCAGGTAAGCTTTACATACTCTCTCACATCAAATAGATTTGTCTGTGCATAATTCCATCCATCAAATATATTTAAAATTTTGATGAATAACTTAGTCGATACCACATTCATATCCTGCCATCAAAATATTCCTGCAAATTGGTAGTTTTTAATTGCATCTTACCATCGAACCAATAATGCAACAATGTTTTGGTCAATGTATCTGTCCTTATCGTTGTTATAATAGTCATACTGGATGCTCATCTTATTAGGACATGAGTATGTGACACTTTATTTGAAAATCTTCCATGTAAATACATAGAAAACCAGGTTGCTCAGATATTCTTTGAGGTAGAAAAAGCGGACT